GCCCACGGGCCCTGGCTGCACAGCTCACGGCTCGGCTCCCAGCCGACCCCCAGTCTCCTACTGCCATAGCAGTGCAATTCAGCCGTGCATGAAGATGACTCTGCGAGACTTCTGCACTGATGTGGTGTATTTAAGAGAAAACTACAGTATGAACATTTCAAGACTGAGTTGAGTGGACTACAAATCACAGTTTCTTGTTCCCATGTACAGTTTCAATACAGATCTCAGTGCAGTGCCTAGAACAGTTCATACATCACTACTGTGAAACAGAAGCAAGAGTGCCACTTTGTTTTATAAAAAACCCCAACAAATAAATTACACATTGAGAGCTATTGCCAAGCTTTACATATAAAAGGTAAAAATACAGTAGTTAGTGTTGCATTAACAAAAAAAATATCTAGCTATAAAAATATTCTTATGTACGTCAGAAGTGTTTGTCCAGTTACAGGGGAAGGGGGGTGTGTTCAGGAAGCAGAGTGCTCAAGCCAAGCAGTAAGAAGTGACAGATCCTGGGCTGTGACCACTTGGGTTCCCCTCCCAACACCACGACCAACCAGACAGCGCAGCGCTGCACCAAACCACCCAGCTCTGCGCCCCTTTGGGTGCGGGGGGCCCTGCACTTGTATCTACAGCACTAATGCTCACAGCAAACACACCCAGAGCACACCTGCGTCACGGGGGCCATTAGCGTGGGTCATTTTTATTATTTGGTATAAAGTTATGATTGTCCAGCTGCATTTGAAAGCTGTGATGTTACTGTGTCCAAGAGCTACGCAATGTCACTACAACTTTCTAGACTAAAACACTCTGTGCCCAGACAGAGCTTTAAATGCCAGCCAGCTGTGACACAGAGCTGCTAACACTTCCTCTGTGCAAGATTTGGGTTGTACCAGGATGGGTCCACAATGTGACAAACAGATCCAGTGCTGTCTGTGAAGGACAAGCTGATCTCAGCAGTGCCCCTTGGCTTCAAGAAAAGAGACTGAACAAGGTGCAGGGGCCAAAAGGAGTTTGTGGAAAGAGACCCAAGTGTAACGGGACTGTTCACCTGAGCTCCTCTTTGGGCCCTGCACTTTTTCTTGCCAAATTGCGTCCAAAACATAGTTTCTGCACTGCTGTCTCTGACAAAGCATATGTGAAATTTAAGTTTAAAACTGAATGCATTCAAGCAAATAGATTAACCATGACTGATTACCAGGTAAGTGGTTATTTTATGTCATATAACTTACCAAATATTAAACCCTTTTACCACTGAAGAGATTCCCTTCACTCAAGTGTCAGAGGGCCTGAACTCCACATTTTAACACCCACTTAGACTGCTGCGTACTCAGCACACACAACTCTCTGGGTCTCTTCTTGCAGGTCTCGATGAGTGAGACCGAAGTGCAGGCTGAGATCCAACATCGCCCTAAGGTGAATCAGCTTGAGATACGGGGTGGGTTTTTTGTCATTATAAATGGTAAGATTTCTATAACACCTTTTACTCCAATCGCTTGCAGAGCGTGAGTGGAGTAAAATCCCTTTACTTTTAGATCAAATCATTTGGGTTTTCAGTTTGACATTTTTCAATCGGAGTTAAAAAGAACCTCCATCTCTGATCAGCACCCCACGTACACACAGCAAAAGGGTACAAGGGCAGTTCCTGAGGACAGGCTAGGACACGCATCAGGAAGTCAATTGGGGATAACTTTGTTAGGAAAAAAAAAAAATCTGCTTTTTCTGTTTTTCAATCAGGCAGCTGGCTTCTTCCAAGTGACTGCAACAGAACCTGCAGTTACTCGTTCCTGTCAACTCTTACTGCTTTGAAGTGGTTGGCAGACCTGCCAACATCCCAACACCAGAGTCACACAAAAGTTTTATTTATAAATATCTTTAAATAATTACCAAAAAATGAACTTTTAGAGGGTGACTGGATCTTACACCCAATCAGCGCATGGTACAGCAATGGTAAGAAAATCCCTTTTTCTCAGTGTCACACAAGGGTTAATTAATACTTTAACTGTAGGAACTATTATACCTATCTGTGTTTGACAAAATGCAGGCAATGAGTAATGCTACATCACCTGACAGCCAGTCATGACACAACACGGTAACTGCAGTGATGCCAAATTACAGGCTGTTGAGATGCAAACCTACGTGTCTGTTCAGATCACGTAACTCTGGCGCCTGGGTCTCACCAGGCTCCCTACAAAGAGTGATTTGGATTGGCTAAATAAGCTACATGGAGTTAAATGAAGTGAGTATCTGCTGCAAGTATTAAATGTCACTGGAAACAATTGGGCGTGCAGCCCCAAAGCTAATAGAAATTGCAAGCCCCCAAATTTAACAGTTGAAAATTTTGAATTTTTAAATACAGTTTCAAGCGTTAGTCCTCCAAGAATTGAGGAAGACTTTGTCCCTTTGAAATTTTTGTGTGCGTGCACGTGTGTGTAACTACAACGTTCCCCTCCGATCACCAGTACCCTGAAATAACGGCCACTGCACTAGGGGGACACACCACATGTTATTTCCTGGTTATTTGCTGTATGCGATTGCTTGGGAGGAATCAGCCGATGGCATTCAGCCTGCAAAGCTGTGAAACTGTACAGTTGTGTGGTTCTGCTGTTGGGAGTTCAAGCTGACAGTTCACAGAGCTCCTGAACCCAATGGGAAGAGTCAAATATCAAACATGCCTTGAAGAAAATGCCACCGCATTCTGTCTATTTACAAACCAACACATGTAGCTGGCGAATGCCAGCTCAGCTGCTGAGCAAACAGATCAATAGCAAGTGCCAAGTTTCCCCACACAGTCCTGGCTTTGTGCAGGAAGCAGACTGTTGCAGCCATAGCTTCCCTTTTCCTGCAGGAACTGTGCTGGCAACTGCATTATTAACTAAGACATTTGATATTTGAATCAGGAACCTTCTACATTTTACTTTGCAATAAGGCTCACAATTAAAAGTATATAAAAAAGCCAATACTCAGCTGGAAGTAACAACGGCAGAGCTGAACAGGTGACAACCAGCAGCACCCACCTGGTCCAGAACAGCAGCTCCCTCCTGGCTGGCAGTGTGGGGACTGGGGAGCCTTGGTGCTTCAGGCGCTGGCTGGAGGGGGGACGTGAAGCGCCTGCCACCAATTTTGGCTCTCAGTTCTTGAGGCAATGGCTGCAAATCATTGTCTGCAGAGTCACTCTGGCAGGTCAGTCCTAAGAGCTCCCCACGGTTTCTGTGTTTCTCTGTTAAGGCCTCAGGGGTTTTGAGGAGTGGCAGTGGGCCACGTAAATGCCACGTGGCTTCTTAATGCTCTCATTCAGCATCTTGCAAACAAGAGCACACATCAGCAGTACGAAGGCCCAAATCTGAAGGACACACCCCAGTCTGAATGGAGCAGCCTAGCCCTGCACCAGCTTACCTGCACAGCCCACAGTGGTTTGGTCCAATCTTTGTTTGCACCGGGAGATGCATGGGCAGCTGGTGTGTGGAAATGAAGTTGTGCATACAGGTTTCAGAACCAACTTTCGCATTTAAAATTGCTTCAAAGAACCACGTGTATATAAATATTTATGAACAGCAGCACTATGCAGGAAACATCCTCCAATCCTGGTCGTATGTACAAACCTCTTCCTAAGAGAGAAAGATCTCAGTTGTTTCATCTGTGCATCCCTGTCAGGAGATGTGGAGTGGGTTCACCACTGGGATTCTCCCCCTCTGTCTCTGCATTGCCCTTTTTCACAGGCTGTAGCCCCAGGGCCTATGTGCTCACTTCTACTTGTCAGCATGAGGGTCCAGCTGCCCAGGACCTGAATCATCTCTTCAGATGGTACATACTGAATCCTGTACTTCACCTGAGCACCAAAGAGCCATCACCAGTTCTGTGGAGTGTGCTCTTGCAAGTGCTCCTACTTTCCTTCTACAAATAAGTGAACTGCTTACAGGAACTTTTCATCTTTTTTTCCTGTTTTTACCTTATTCTTTCTATTCTTTGTTCCACATACAGCTGTTAGATGACACTTGGAGCAGGATTTGAGCTGGTGTTAAGAACTGATCTAGTTGTACCCTCATGCCACTAACATACTTGGTAAGTATTCCCAAAGCACAGCATCAGGAAACACCACCCAGGAACAGTATGAATAGAAACAAGAACATTATTTTCCTTCCTAGTCCTACATGTCAACAAAACTAAGAAATAAGCAGTTCCTGAAGTAAGCTGTACTCAACATCTTCACTGCTTCAGCATTTAAAACATTGTATCTCTAGCCTAAAATGCATCTGAAATAATCAGTGTCAGAATGTGAGAACTCTGCTGTAGTCTGCTAATGCTATAAGCTGTTTGGCAGGTTAGTTTTCATTTTCCTCATTGCAATGAGCAGCTCAAATCCAATCACCGTTCTGGTCACTGCTGGACCAGATTTTCATTATTTCCAGGTGCTGTAACAAGAGGCGCAAGAATTATTAAGGGGTTTAAGGCAAAACATGAGAGTATGTGTTGGTAAAACAAAGGAAAAAGAGGGAATAATCACACAGAAGAAAATGTCCTTGGTCGCAGAAGAGTCATCTCTACGGTGAGCCACCGTACAGAGTATGGCCACAAGGTGGCCCTGCAAGTTCTCCTAATCTTTCCAATATTAATGTAGAGAGGTCAGGGACATGTGCTCAAAGGCTACATTGCTACATCACAGTGACACTTGAGAGGCAGCACAGGGTAAGACTAAACCTAGTGTGAGTGCAGCACAACTAGATTGTGTTCCTCATGTTCAGAACTAGCTCCAGTGTGGTGGTTCACTTCTCTTGAGGGAGAAGATCAAACGTGCAGGTGGTTTTATATCCCGGTTTAGACTGCAATTCCAGTTAGACTGCAATAAATGAAGAAGTCTCTTCCTGGATCCCAGCAAACCAGCTGCCTGTTTGACTCCCATTCAGCAAGAGTTTGGTCCCAAGCAAGTCTTTCGGAAGGATCCCTTGGAGATACGTCAGAAGGTTTGAGTTTTTTGCAGGTGGGAAGTGCAGAAACTCCTCCTTCTAGAGCTCAGTGGTGAGTAAACATTTTGTTCTTATTGTAGCATCCTCAGTGACTGGGCTAAAAAGGAAAAAAAGAAAAGGAGGCCCTGTAAATACACTGCTCCAAAAAGATCTGCCATGATGGATTAAAAAGAAAAAGAAGAGTATTGTTCCAAACAGTGTTAATAGCTGTTCCCCTCCTGATTTAATGAGGCCAATGGACAACCTGCAAAAGAGCAAACTGAACCAATTTCACAAAGTGCAGTAGTAGCATCCAGCTAAATGTGCATGCTCTGTTCCTTTACTTACTTGAATTAAAATAACAAAGTTTCCTTACCCTTCAATCTTATGTAAAGATATACACACATCAGCTGCTCTATTTATTTATACAATCTCAAATGCTATAAAGTGAGACAGAACTACAGGTTATAAGCACAGCAAAACAAGGCACTGTGTCTAAATGACCACTGTACCTATTTAAGTGCAAGCAGTAAGAGCACGTACTTCTTTTCCACCCCATAGGGACTGTGAAGTGAGTGCTGAGGAGACCTCACCTTGCGAGGACTTCGGATGTCTGCTGGGGTGGTGGCAATTCAGCCAATGACAACAGAGGCTCCGTGCTGCCTTTCACTGCCCTCATACCTAAGGCAACATCATTTCCCAAAGGCCCATTGGAAATCAGTCCAGTCTGAATGGGGGAGAAAGAAACAGGAAACTGAAATAAAACCCTGCCAGGACAAGACAAGCTAATTTTTCAGTATGGTTTATTTGTAATGGTAAAAACTAAGAGTCGTCAAGTTCCACGGTAGCCTTCACTAAATGCAAGTTCTTAAAGAAACTTTATGGCATCTACCTGCAATGTAACATGGCAAAAATGAAGTTCAGCTATTAACAGGATAGGAACGTTGTTTGATTTACTCCAGCTGAATTCATTTGCTTCAGTTTTGATCTGGTACATTATTTTATGAGCTTCCAATTATTACAAGTTACTATATTTTACTTGAGCTCCTGTTTCTTAATCAAGACAAAAGCTTTCTTTTTTTTGCTGTTAAGGAACAGTCAAGTAACTCACTGGCACAATCCACCTCGGTGTTATCGTGGGCTGGGAAGACACCTACAAAAAGCAAGCAAACGCTCATTAGAAAAGGTTGGAAGTAGCTGAGAACATTCTCAAAACATTGCCCCCCAAAACAATCTCTGAAACTTGTCCGTCACGAGTCTTTGAACCACAGTAGTGATTAGCTACAGATGACACGACCTCATACCAAAGGTAAATGGCACCCAGGCAGCACACAGCTGGTGTGCTCACTCACAGGAACTCACTGGTAGCAGTTTCAGCACAGTGTTCCCTTCTAAAAGGCAACTGAACCCAGTATTTTTTCTGCCTTGTGGACAAAGTTAACCAAGAGTACACTTCTGTGAACAGTTTCAAGGTCCTACTCCTTCCCCTGTGTTGTGGTGCGTGCAATGTAACGCCTTTTTTACTGGCACAGATTACAGGAGATTTTTTTAACTCTATAAAAGGTTGATTTGTATTAAAAGTTTAATTTTCAAGTATTAATTTATATATATACACACCTGTGTGTGCATATACACATTTACATATAATTTCTGCAGTATTATATATACCCAAAGCCAGAGAAGCAGGCTGGCACTTGCAGGTGTACTAAAACAAGACTACAGGCTCTTGTGGCACAGACAGGAGTTAACTCTTCAGGTTCCTTCACTTTCATTGCAACGCTGTAGGGTCTACAACCCTACGCCAGTCACCCTACAAGCAGGGGGGCACATACGCAGTGATCCAGGTCAATCACCACTTCACTACTGCAGCAGGTCCAAGCCTGGTGGACAGATACTAAAGCCAGAGGAGGGTTTATGAGTAAAAGTCATTGTACGTGTGAAGAGAGAAGTTTGGTTTTGAAATACATTTACCCGAGGTGTGGCTTCTGTAAAGTCAATTAGATTCTCTGTCAATGATGTTAAGGAAACGTCCTGGTCATCTGGAGTGCTCTATGGAATAAATCAGTTTTGAATTGAATTCCCAATAGTAACCAGATAGGTCTGCTGAATACTCTAGTGACTTCTCAAGTTACAGACCAGTGTCCTTAATGAACACCACTGTTTATCAGGTCTGTTTTCTCAAATCTTTCCACGTGATCTTTTTTAATAGTCTTTTCATTTCAGTTATTCTTAGCAACGTACTGGAAACAATGTCATTGTCATGTAAGCTGTGAAAGGTGCGAAGATGGGGTACCACATCAACGAGATCTGTGAGCTGAGTGTTTGAACGCAGAAGATGAAATTGGTAATTACTCAGTGGGATCAACTACGTAATACTGGTTTAGAGGGACAACAGCTAAAGCGCATGGTGCTTTAGTGATCCAGAATAACCCCTCAGTCTGCTGAAGCAACAGCAAAGTCCAATGTTGGACTCTTATTTTGGAAAGGGACAAAGCAAAGTTGACCCTTAAATTGCGATGTGCATTTCCTGGAGTCCAGTTAAAAATTACCTTATCTTTAAGGTAACCAGAATACAACAATTAACAATGTAAATTTAAACCTCTCCCTCTGTGGTTATTTTAACAGAAATTGCCTATGTCAGAATTTCATCCCTGCAGTCTCTTTCCTGCAGCATCAAATCATTGAGATATAATAAGGGGCTCTCCACCACTATGAGGAAAACTATCAGTTTTCCTGAAAAAGAACCTGAAAGGACACTCGGAAATGGCCTCTGCAGAGATCTGTACAGTGTCCCTGTCTGCTCCAGAAAGCACTCTGGCATTCCCCAGTAACTGGTATTCACTGAGTTATGAGAGGCATGCAGCAAGGTCTGCTGTGCTTGCCTGGAGGCATTGGTAGCTCAGAACATGACACACAGAAACCTTGCAGGCTGGCAGGTGGTGATACCTTCGAAACAGCAGCCTCCTCAGCTGGAGCCAGACCAGCTGGAATCAGCAGGTCCTCGTGGTTAGAGGCAGTGTTGTCCTCCTTTAACGCATTACTGGAAGGAGAAACATTCTCATCAGCACATGGCCTGGATAGCATGAGACAGTGCTGCTTCCCTGACAGCTCAACCCCAGAACTCGACACCAGTTCCATGTGAGGCAGACAAAAGACTGATGTTTGTGAGCATGCTGAAGTAAATGCCTTCTGACTACCTCTGCAGATTACTGCTCTCTTTCTTAGTTTCGGCTACAGCTGTGTATAGACCCAACAGTATCAATGTCTTCAGTCTCAAAGGAGCCCTTGTTTCTAATTCGCCTGAAGCCTTCCCTGCCAACTGCTTATCTTCCTCTTTAGAGCCAGGGGCAGCAGAATGTCAGATACTTCAGTTGTTTCAGAAGATGAGAAAGATTTGCTTACTGCTTGCTGGGATACCAACCCCGAGGCCTGGTGTACACTGATTAACTGTTGCAATACTGGTTGAAGATGCATCAGTAAATCTGCTTAGCTAGACACAGCCTAACTGCCCAGCAACTGTTCCTCATCTTTTCCGACCTATTCCTGATAATCTCCACATGATTCCCCTAGCCCAGAAAGGTTTCTCCTGAGTCACTTACGGAATGAAGGTGTTGGAAGCAGGGGCTGCTTTCAGCGGCTCTCTTGGGTCTTGAAATACTGGAGCGTTTGCTGGGGGACTACTCTGTGTTTTACCTGATGGGAAAATGTTCCTGGCACAAAACAACAAAAAAAAACCAAAACAAAACAAAAAACAGGTACAACCTTCCACAGAAACCTCTTCATTAATCAGAAGTTACAGCATATTTTTGACATCACTAGATGCACCTGTTATGCAGTATCGCCATGTGACCTTTGATGTCTGATACATAATCATCTTCATAAATGGTCAAGAAACTACATGTTATAACCCTTTACCTTTTTCAACACTTGAAATCCCACTGGAACTAGCAATCATGTGAGATTCAGTAATTCTCAGGAAATCAAGTGTCAGGCTTTTGTACGCAATTTTTTTCTCTGCTAGAAAACAGGTACTGTAAACAGACCCATGCCCTCTCCCCACATTGAAGTTGTTCACATGTCAGAAGTAACTGTAGTGATTGAAGCTGCTGTTGGAACAATGTTTATCAAATTAAAGTACGGGAGAATAAAGAGCATCTGAATTACCTTGTATATAATAAAATTTAGCAACTCTAGTGGTTGTTGGTTTTCATTTTAAAAAACACTTCATGCTCACCATGTTAAGGTGGGTTTGAGGTTTTACTTTACCCTACGCACGGTAAAATTCAATGATCACCGAGCCACTGAAAGACCACACTGAAGTGCAGGTTCTCAGTGCTGTAGTTGGGTAACCAGATCACGCATTCCTTCCAAACCTATCCAGTACCTCGCAGCAGCATCCTGAATATTGGAATTCTTGACACCTGTCAGGCTGTCTTCTCTTACGACCTGAGAGGAAAAAATGAACAAAGATAGAAATTTCTGATACCTGTTTCCATTTTGTGTCAGTTCTGAGATTCAGAGAAGAGTCAAGTGCCTCTTTTACAGCACAAAAGTGTGCTGTTCATCTACTGCTCACAGACTTAAATCATCCATTCTATATAAAAACTTCAGTGCAGAAATAAAAGTAATTCACCAACGCAGCCAAACAAAATACTATTATTTGATACAGAATTTACTAGGACATGCTAGAAGCATGGTCTCACTCTCAGAGTCACAGAATAATTTCTTGGTTAGAAGGCAACATTTGCAGGTTGTCTGGCTCACTCGTCCAGTTACATGCTGAGTACCATCAAGGATGGAGATTCCTCCTTGGACAACCGTTCCAGTACTGGATCACTTATTACCGTAAAGAAAGGCTGAGGGGCTCTCTTATACCTTGGATTCTGGCTCTTGGAGCACCCTTATCTGCAAGGCACCTTCTCCAACACCAGGCAATTGAAGAGAAATAAAACATTTGAGAAGCTCACAGTCCTTATCAGCTGAGTATTTACCTTGTGCCCCACTTCTGCCTGGGCCTTCAGGATATTGCTTTTGATATCTGCTGGAAGCCACGTTGCTGTTGTGATTGGGCTCTCAATTGCATTGTTAAGACATTTATCTGTCAACTTCACCACTTCATCCTAGGCATGAAAAAAATCCTTATTAGAAGCAGTTCCCACATGGAAAAGTCTGAGCTGAAGTTTATTAACATCTCTAAATAACAATAAGGCTCTGAGGAAGAAGGAAGTCAGCAGATTTATACTGAAATAAAAAACCGATTTTTTTTCCTTTATTTTGGAACTCAGTTTTAAAGTCACAGCAAAACAAAGTAAAAAACCACAATGCTTAAAAATGGAGGTGCAAAGCACTGTGCTAAAAACACAATGTGCAAGAACTGAACAGCAGTGGACCCTAAATTTGCAGACTAAGTTTACTGACAGGAGATCGATATAGCAGACATGGTATTATATGGTATCATATCAGATAGCCTAACTATAAACTGATAATTTACTCTGAAATGCAAGTTAGGAAGGATTTTTACCTAAAATCCACTTACAAATTAGAACAACAGTTTAATGTGCTCTCTCTCCTATCACTGATTATATCAGGAAAAACTGGCAGCAGATACGTTATAAAGACAATTAAAAATGAGATACCTTTTCACTACAGTATATTTCATTATGTGAACTGCATTTCTTAATTATAAAATGTTAATTAAGCATTCAATCTACTAATTGCTATCTGATTAGTGACAAGTTAATTAACTGAGTGGAAACTAAACCTTGTGACCTCTTCTCGGGGTCTGACTCAGCAGGGGGAGACAGAGTCCTGCTTTCCTCACCATATGCCAGGGCTACCGGCTCTCCCTGGAAAGCAGGGCTGCCTTCCTGCAGCCCCGGAGCAGGCACAGTCCTGCTGCACTCCTATTGCACAAACCTCCAGGAGGAACGGAGCCCATGGCATGGACAGAGCAGGGGAGAGAAGTCAGAAAGAGGTGAATACTTGTCCCCCACACCACTCTTGCACTGCTTCTAGCTTTTTTGGTTCACTGGAAATAATTGTGAGAACTTATAGGCGTTTAATTTTTAGAGAGGGGAAAAACATTTCCTTTTCTTGTCTCCCTCTAAATCACCTTTCAGTTAATCCAAATAGGAACTAAAGAGACTCTAAATAACCCATTTTAACATTTCACCCCAGTCACCACTGAATACAGCCATTTGAAAAATCATCAAGGATCACTGTCAACATAAAAGGTTATCAGGAACAACCACCAGTGTTACTAATGACTATTGCTAGCAGATATTAAGAGACTCACATTCACATAGTCCATGAAGCCTTAAAAACCAATTAATTATTAAACATCTATGTGTTTTTATTTTAGAGGAGCTGCTGAAATTGCCAGAAGTCTGGAGTTGAAACTGTGTTGTTATTATTACTACTATTACTATTAGTTGTAGTAGTATAGCCACAGTATCTAACTGTGATAATCCTTAAATCCTTACACGGGACCTCACTGACTCAGATGCTGTATAAGACAGTCCCTGCACAGAATTTCTAATGCACTATTCCAGCACCAGTGAAATAGTAAATTTGATTATTTTAACAGAACAAATCAGTACCGTGGTGCTGTAAGCACCATTTTTTTGATTTAACTTTCTCTCAGCTTCCTCCATCTGAACAACCAGCTTAATTAGGTCACTTTAATAGGTCTACCAGCAATCAGAGTCCCAACTTTTTAAAAGTTTAGTACCACTGAGAAATATTTTAATGTAAACAAGTGTAAGTTCTATACCACCAAGGAAATATTTCCATTAGTATCAATCATATATTTTTCTTAATAATTTCTATTCTGTGCTTGGAAAAAAGCATTTTGGTGTTTGGGCTTCTTTGTTCGTTTGGGTGGTTTGGGGTTTGGTTTTTTGCTGCTTGGTTGATTGGTTGTTTTTGAATGGAAAGGAGACGTAGCCAGAGGGATGCGTTTGGCACCTGATAACACCTCAAGGTGTCTAATTTACAAGACATTTGGTTGTTCACATAAAACCATAAAGCTGCTGGGGTTTGTCAATATTCCAGCTCATTATAAATTTTTATTGTCTCTGTGTAGTCACCAAACCATATTTGTCCTTTATTTTTCAATCAAAATATGGCGCAAGGGAGCGATGTAACATGGGAAGGAAAGATCAAAGGTAGCAGCAGGGCGTGCGATCTCAACCCTTTGTGCTTTTGAGCAGCATTCCTGGTGCCATCGAAAATTACTCTCTGCAGAGATGGGGCCTAATACAGGCACATTTTGGAGCAACTTCCATGTGTTTACAGACCACAAGGAATTAATAAACAGAAAACCCTGCATCCCCACGTTTCTGACTCCGGAGCAGAAATGGGCAAACAGGGTGAACTTTTGGTTGTCCATTTCACTTCAGAAGCTGATGAAAGCGGAGCATCGGTGTATTTAAGAGCTATTTGCTGTCTTTTGTCAGATCTGGTCACTGCGCTACTGAAAGCTGGGAAAGGACAAAGTCGCATTCTTCCATCCCAACAGATTTTGGCAGGGAGCAGTGGTGAAGAATGAAGCCATTCATTCTCCCCTTCCCAGTTCTCATTCTGGAAAGATTTTTCCTTCTCTTTAAAAGAGCACAGATAGCTAGATAAATATTTGCCTATCAAAGAAATCAATCAAGACTGATTGATTGGCAGTACAGAATTACATAAAGAAGATGTGGGCTGGCCATCTCTGACCCCTGACAGAAATCAGTTGAAGATTTTTAATTTAAAAAGCTGAAGTGAGCAATTCATTGCCATTTGACAGTGCCACTTACGAAGTTCAGGATGCAGCTCTGCCTTCATAAGCAGAAAGCCAATGCTTTCCCCTGATGCATTTTACCGAACTCTTTACATGTTAAACTATTTCTACATAGGTATCTTTAGCAATGGTGAAACTCAAGGGAGATGAGACATGCTGAAATTTGTAACCACATCCTTTCAGAGAGAACACTGTAACACTGCATCCACCTGAAGTAACAGCAAGCTCCAGGATCGAAGCTCATTGCAAGGTTTTAGTGGAAATACTGCAGTCCCATCCAGTTCAGTCAGGAGAAGATGCCACAAACAGCTCTCTTATGAGAAGATTAAGAGCAGAACCAGGTGCAGGAGAGCCAACAGGTACATTTTGTAACAAACGTCGTAAGTGGAAATTTATTTTTTTTCCTAAAGCAGCCTTCAAGAGCGGGAAACAAAGTGTTTTTAATAGCAGTTCTAAGGCCACTCTATTCAGGACTCATTCCTAAACTATCAACCTTCATCTCTAATCACAGCTGGGGGTGGTCAGTTAATGTTACCATAACCTACATATCTTTGCAATTTGAAGCATGTCTGCCTTTATAAACAAACACTCTCAAGTGACCTCTTGGTAAGACACATCATAGGCTGAGAAAGCTTTATTCAACCTTTTCTATCTGAAGAAAACCACTTATGATCTACTCTCACATTTCCCTAATACAATTTGCACTTCCTTCTTGAACGCTGAAATGTCTTTTACTGGCACGCTGCTGATCCATACATCACCTGTCTCTCAGTTATGCCAATATTCTTCCTCTAACATCCAACGTCACTCAGCACCTCACCCAACAGCAGCTGGATAATGGTGACTGTGCTGTATTGGCAGCTGTTTGTTAGATTAGCTCATTACAGGAATCTTATCTTGCTTGCTATGTATCAGACACAATTTTAAAAACACCAAGACTCCTTTTCTCCATTCTCTGCATTTAACCAATTAAAAGTTTTTTTCCCTCCCTCTCTGTCTGAACTGAAACAGAGCTCAAAAGGCAAAAATATTCTGAAATAAACTGCATTCACTTGCTTTAGTTCATGCGGAGGCAGTGTTTCATTGGCATAGCAGGACCTATAGGCTGCTGACTAATCTTCTTAGAGACTTGGTAATCTTTGTAATGCACTCACCAAGCAGAGAGGTGTGCCAGGCACCCGTGACAACAGACCTTAAAGGGGACACGAGCAAAACAGCCCGCAGCTCCAAGCATACCAAAGCAGCAGCTTTCTATCACATAGAGTGGGGAACAAATGCTCAAACAAGTACTACGAAACACCTCACTTGGCACCTGCTTCATTTTACTGCCAAGGAGCAAGAAAAATCATAGCTGCTTTACAGAAAGTGAGACAAATCCTCAGGCCTCCCTGCAAGGAAGGGTACTACAAACAGAGATAACGCTGCCAGGTGCTTTACTCTTCTTGCTTGATCAAAATGCAACCAAGCACCCAAAGCTTTAACACAACAGAATCAGAGTTGGTTGCCTTTTTGCTTTGCACTTTTTTTTTTTGTCTTTTTAAATGCATGATTTATTTACAAGCAAACCTGGAGGGAAATCTGAATTCCAAATTTTTTAAAGATCATTAAAAAAAATAAATATCCAGCATGGGTGCAGTTGTCTGACAACCAGTGAATCTATGTAAGTTCACTGCTGCTGTAAGGGAGGATCCTGTCCTCTCCATCCCTTCTAACAACACTACTTACTCTCACTACAGCTCTGGCATTTCTTTGACCCCTTCCGGAAACCTATTTAACTCACCATTTAACAACTTAAAAACAAACAAAAATCCCAGACCAAACCTAACACCTTAACAAAAAGTTCCAAACAAAAAAAGGCAAAAATTTGTAGGCTACATTGGTTCACCAAAACACACAATGATTCCTGGAGATGACACAGGAGAGAAGGAAGCCAGCAAAGGAAGAGCAAAGAGGAGCGAGGGAGAAGAGAGCCTTTGCCGTGTCCAGGGCACTGAAGCTCCTACTTTGGCTCAGCTGCCCGTGGAAATGCAGCCTGACTTGCTCAAAAACATTTACAAGAGCACTAAATCTAACCACATTGCTCCTCTCTGTGTAAACACACACAGCACCAACACCTACTTCAATCTGGTACAATCTGGCTACCTAATGGGAGGGGCAGATCACCAGCAAATTCCTCTATAAACGAAACATCAAAACATTGTTCTGGGACGGTTACCAAAGGCAACCGGAAAACACCAGGAAAGCAGCTGAACCCCTCAAAAAAGAGGGTGAACTACACAACACTGTACAGTCAGTGCCCTACAGATAAAGACAACTGAGGAACATTTCAAGCGTTCGTGCCTCTTACTCCCACTGATTTTAGAAAATTTCCCCAGGTTGCAGTCTGCACACACACACCTTTGTTCCCCATCTTTACCACACAGAGGTTTATGCAAAACAACGCATTTGTGTTTCTCTTACTATCCTTCAATATTACTCACTCATGCTCCTATGAATCTTGCAAATGAACCAAGGTAAGTGGAAGAGCTTTCAGACTGATCTGAACAACACCCAGTGGCTCTGCCAGGAAGAATGAAGCCCAGGTACCTGTATGTTTATGTTCACATTGGGACGCTCAGTTGGCACAGGGCTGCTGTGCTCTGCCTCCAGCTGTTTCAGTTTTAGGAAGGTGTCTTCAAATGCTGAAAAAGACAGAAAATATATCATATTGCTAATGTCACAGTGGAGTTATTTGACTTGTAACTTACATTCTTCCTAAACACTAATTATATGGTTTTAAAGTGGTGGAAAAAAGCACAGGGACTAGGGGAAGATACTTGCTCAACCTTCGATGCAACTTCCATGCCTTCAGACTGTAGGTACCCAAGCACAACACCCTGCACTCCTGCAAGTTCATTTCCCCAGCCACCCTCACAGGGAATGAGCAAGCAGCAATAATTAATTGCTCATAGTTGCACTTCGCTGCATTTGTGGCTAAAGCCAGATCTCACAAAGAACTGTGACTTTTCCCTTGTACTGTCGTCCTTGAAAATAAGCTGCTTCTAACTGAAACAGGGAGAGCTGACTTCGTCATCCCACATGGCATGACTTAAAGTCATGATGGTATCTTACATAGTTTTTGAAACATTTATAGCAAATTACTGTAAAAAAATCAAACAAAGGCAGCCTTTGAAAGCAGCGTTAAGGACGTTTCAGTAAATACACTGACAGCAATATTAGAAATCTCACAGAGGAAACACTGACCATAAAACAGGCTTTCCTTGAAAATGATCTGTAAATATTTTGGTGCCAGACTTCAGCCAAACTCCTAAATGCACCAATTCATATACCAGAGGGGGCTGCATTCCAGTGGCAGGTAAAGATGCCCTTACGTATGTAATCTAAAGGAGCTCTCTAAAACATGTCTGGATTTTTGTAAGGAAACAATCTCATGACTATGTAATCAGTAAACTTTGACCCCACACATTGTGATAACAGAAAAAAATCTGTAAGTTTGCTTACGATCAGAGTCTGCTTTTTCAGCAGCAGCTTCCTTTGTGCCAGGATGAGGGCAACCAACAGCCTCTTCCAAACCTGCTGTTGCCAAGCCAACAACTGGATGGGCTACGGCATCGTCGACACAAGTCTCTGGCAACTCTGTGCTGTCTAGCAAATCAACAAGGGGGATGCTGCAGAGGCAGAAAGATGGACAGAGACACCCAGAAACATGTTACCACTGTGTAACAAGAAAAGAAGCTTTAACACACGCACTCTCTTTTCAAGTTGTCTTCTGGTAACTAGACACGCTCTGTAAAAGCTGTTTCAGGTAACTAATAGATATTGGCTTACAGTGAGTTGTTTTTTAAAAAGGGAACATAACGTCTGTAGACATAACAGAACAGGTCCACATTGCCTGTTTCTTCATCACACAGCAGTGGAAAAAGTGAAGAGAGAAGGAGGGATGTTTTTAATCCATTAAATGTACTTGTTGCAACAAGCACCTGAAGTTTTCCTAGCAAACTCAAGGTACACTTTAGGACTTTTACAGAAGAGAAATGGGGTATACCCGTAACTGGTTGCAGTTTTATTAACTTGGGCAGAGACACGAGTGAAACCTTAGCAGTCACAGGATTTTAAGTGAACTACAGCATGTACTTTGTACTCTGTTGGGATCACCTGTTTCACCTCCTGTGCTTTCCAATGGAACCTTCTTATTTCGCCCTACTCACCTGTACTCACACTGAAAATAAAAACAAAATTACAAAACCAGAAGTTATATTACGGTGTTTATGCTGTGCAGTCGGGAATATCATCCATCTTCGAAGTTCAGGATCAGCTACAGCTACCCTAATGGCAAACTGCAACAAACAGAGCAGCTGCTGAGGGTTATGAGGGTTAATCAGACAACCTGTGCACACAGGTACAGTTTGACTGCTGTGCATTCAATCAACAATCACACTTAGATACAGTTTGGTTAAAATATTGTCTTAAGGAGAAAAACAAATTAAATCTATTGCTTTTGAAAGTCCTGTCCCAAATACGAGAACAATGACACCAAGCAAGTACCCAACTTACACACAGACAGAGATGCTTCCTACTGACAGCACACACCAGCTTCTCCCTTATCCCTACTGGGTTAATGCCCCTTCCCTCCCTCCAGCCCCTGGAATTTGGAAGCAGTCCCGTGTTGGCACTGAGGATTTCAGGAAAACACTCCTCCCTCTCGCTCAAACACCCGAAAGAATCCTTCCACTGTTAAATATATACCCCTGCAACAGATTACAGCGTATCACCGTTTCAGTGCTAATAATGTACGAATCACCTTAAGGCAATTAATTGGCGTGAGGCAAACTGAGGTCACTTACTTGATTCTCTTAAGCAGTGGAGTAAGAAGGTGTGAGCAAAGCAAATCATAGGAATTCTTTCCATCTACTGTACAGCCTCTATGTGCACCACTAATGGGAAGTGGCAAGCAGCAGCAGATAGTCTTGCAAAGGGAGAATGATGGACACAGAGGATTTCAATTATCACAAGTAACAGGCAGGAAGAGATGCTCTTCCAATAAAGTAAGCAAGACTGAATCCTGTACCTTACTATCAGAGGATGCCTACACATGAGAGTGAACATTTTTTTCTCATCTTCACAAGAAGCCAACAATTTTCTTCCTATTTTCTCAGAGTTTTCTGTAAATAGATGTTTAATATGAGCCTTTCCCTCACTAGATGACAACTGCAGGAACATTTACTAGACAGACAAGAGAGCCGAGTCAAAAACCTGCCTGCTAGAGAAAAGTGCAAATCTGGTGGCATATTCACATGGCACACTCAATGTCTAGAGTTGCTCAAAAAGCCGTGTACTACTTCCATGAAGGTGATGAAAGTGTGTAGAAAACCTTATTGCCATTTGTGCCATGGGATGGAGGACTGGCTGAGGGAGCAAGGATGACTGAGGTGAGCCCCTGCAGCTTCACCCCTGCGTTGCAGCGGGGCCTCAGGGTAACAAAATGAATTTTAGGCAGACGAGAGAGAAGCCTCCTACACCAAGATTCAAGCAGGAATTGACCCCATTTTGCCTTCAGAGCCACTGAAGCACCTAGGGCCACCCTGAGATAGGCAGTCACAAGAGGAAAGTAATACTGTGGAGACCCTCAGCCACTGGAGTTTGCAGGCACAAATGACGAGTTCCCCAGAGAGCATTAAATTGTTCGTGGCCACCCAGGTTCTCCATCCTGTTCAGAGCACCAGCAGGAAGTTGTACCGCACAGTTTTCATAAATGGCCAGACTCCAGCAGGAAAAAGCACAGGATGCTATTTTCATCACTGCACAGCATTTCTGACTTATCCTACAAAACACTGATGAACTGTCACGCCAATCATAAGGGAAATAGTAAAAGGCTTCCCAGGAAAAACAGGCCTTCAATAACAGTCAGCATGCAGCGCTCAAGAATGAAACAGGCAGTAGCTTTCCACATTCCGGTATTTACCACATACAAAGGGGTATTTGAACTTTGCATGGTAGTAAGCACCAGGCTTTATGTCTTCAGAATCCACTTTTATCAGAGTATTTTAAGAAATATTCTGAAGGAAAAGCTGATAGACACCAGGAGTTCAAGCCATACAAATAATTATGAGTACAGGAAAAATCAAAGGGGTTTAGTGCCTAGAAAGGTTTGTAAACCTACTACTAAATCACAAAGAAGTCGTTACGTGCTCAGAGAACACCCACAGTTAAGGGAGTTAGCTACTGTGCTATTTCTTCTTTTTGCCTAACAAATACGTTGCTCTCAGTATGCACCATACAGCATACAGTCATTGTGTGACTGAGAAATCTGCCAGTTACCAAGGCTATGGGGTTATTTTTATTTTATTTTATTTAGTTGAAAAGCAAAACAATACTTCCCTCTAGTTTGTGAAATACAATCTGCAAAATACAGTAACTATCTGAGTCGGTTTCAAAAGAGATAATCTGTTTGCAAGTAATCTAATTTGAAACAGCATGGAGCACCACACAAGCCAATTTAGTTTTTCAAACCAGTAGTGACACTGAATAGTTTTTCACACTGACTCTGCAAGGTAGCACAACTGTATGAAATTCTCTGTTCATTTCCTTCATTTCGGAGCATTCAATGTTGCACCTGAAGGTAAGAGTAGTAAATTTAAGCCTGTCGACTTTTCAGGTGTTTTTTTTTTCCTAAACAAAAATGTAAAATATTCAGAAGAAAAGAACTTCATTTTCCTTTTAAACAAAAAAATCCCGTGGATGTATGATCCTACAAATGGGACTGTCCATGCACATTCAGTTTTTAATGAAGCAGGCTGAGTCCCACATTCCAAGACTTTTACTTGCTCCCATTTATTTGAAGATAATTTCAAATACTGATTTAGTGTAATATACACAAGTCAACCACTACAGGAAAGGAAAGCCAACACCCTTAGGAAAAGGTGCTGGCTGCAGAAACTTTGTGGACATCAAGCAAAGATCTGTCACCACCACACCGTTTAGAAAGACATCCACGTGTTTCCTCAATGCTATTCCTAGGGCACGTGACTTGTCCCTGTAACACCACAGCCAGAGGACGCTGGTACCAGCGTGGTACCAAAATCTACTATGAAAACGTGAGCCACAGCTCCAATTACCAAACTCGCAGCTAAATCCAGGGCAATCCGATACAGTCAGCACAATGCGGGCAGATGGGCCACCCAGCCCACAGCTGAGTCACCCTGGGAGTACTGTGTCCAGCGCTGGGCTCCCCAGGACCCAGACATGGACATAGTGGAGGGAGTGCAGCAAAGCACCATGGAGACGATAAAGGCTCTGGAGCATCTGACATGGGAAGAGAGGCTGAGAGCTGGGACTGTTCAGCCCGGGGAAGAGAAAGCTCAGGAGGATCTTGTCAATGCGTGTGAAAACGTGATGGAGTAAAGACAACAGCCAGACTCTTCTCAAGGGAGCCCAGAGACAGGACAAGAGGCAACATGTACAAACTGAAATACAGGAGATTCTACTTCAACACAATTTAAAAAACAAAAAAAGCAAACTTCTTTGCTGTGAGGCTGGTCAAACACCAGAACAGGTTGCTCAGAGAGGGTATGAAGTCTCCATCCTTGGAAATAACTCAAAAGCTGGCTGAGCATGGTCCTGAGCAACCTGCCCTACTTGACCCTGCTCTGAGCATGGTGGTGGACTGCGTCATCTCAGGAGCCATCTTCCAACCTCAACTACTCTCTAATTCTGTGACAGCTACACAAAACTTCTCTGATACACGAGGAGGCAGCCACTACCTGTGGTGGCCTGACCATGATGTAAGCACATCTGAACTTAAAACTGTGCAATAAAACAGTGACTTGTTACTGCAATGTGTTCTTCCATTTTAAATGCAAAACTAACCCAAATTCCTCCATTCAAATTAGCGGTGGCTTCTTCCTCATGTACACAGAAATTATATGACATTTTAAAGTTAAAATGCCCGTTTTCATTTGCATGTTGTTATGCAACTTTATAAAGCATAAAGAAACAAACAGGCTTGCTTTGCAACAGCCGCCTTGCAAAACCGAAAACTAAAAACAGCACAACAGATTGCTCAGATCACCTCTGTAGATCCCACAGATCTTTAATATGTAGCTTGCATAGCCTTTTTTTCTTAAAGCAGAACTGGGTGAAGAGGCCAAAACATCCCTGGCAATATTAAAAAACACTGCACTTTGAAAGCAGCTAACTTCAGAAAACACACGAAACCACAGTGCGTCCAAGGGTAAACGTAGTTCTTCATGTTGTTAGTCCCCCAGAACACCACTGAACCATGAAGCTGGAGTCTTCACCCCTGATGTAAGAACTGGCCTCGTGAACCACATGGCAGGACTGGTGTGGGTCAGGAAATATTTCTGTTTCAACTGGAGCACAGCAGCAAAAAAGAAAGAAAATTTTCCAGAAAGCAAAAAAAAAAATTACTCTCTTCCTTTTCAGGAGTTCTGATATTTTTATAATTTTATTCTTATAAAATTAAAATAACTCTATTTCATTTCCAAGTAACATTTTTCAGAAGAGGACTTGTTAAAAAAAAAAGTTAGTTTTCAGATCAACCATCTATTTTAAATATTTTTAAATAATCATGGTTCGAAAGGAGGGACAGTTACATCCTCTGTCTCACTAAGATTTGTGAAACCACATTACAATCCGCAGGTTGCATGTGCAGTTTTATTACAAGTGTGACTTCCTGGATGGCTCTTAAGGTCAAACCCAGCTGAAAAATCAAACCAACCAAACCAAACCAAACCAAACCAAACCAAACCTTTTCAATTATTAAGAAAAAATCTTAACACAATTTAAAACATCTGTGTGTGTGTGTATATACACACACACACACACACACACACACTCTTTTTAATAAGAGTGACAGGCGGCTTGTGGTCTGTATGTTAGTTTTTCTTGAAAGACTAAATACCAACAGCACGATATGCAAAGCCTTCATAAGAAAAGCCTTTTTCCCCCCTCTACAGGCAGCTGTGGGTCCGTTGTCCTTATCTCAGAGGCAGCTCAAAAGGCAATTTTCCAGCCTCTGCCAGAAGGCAGCGTCAAGCTCCAGAAAGGCCCAGGTGTCAGAGACTGGTCATGGTGGTGTGGACGGCACAGGCACCGGCGCCGCCGCGCATCCCCGCGTTCTTCACATTGCGCTGGTGGACAAAAGCGGTGCCGTGTCCCTCCGCAGCGCAGGTCCTCGGCGGGGCCCCCCACGGGCTTCCACCACGGTGGCAGCAGTCGGCAGCGTCAAAGGGCCTGGATCATTGGGAGCGGGAGGGGGCACAATTAGTGAACGGGTACGGGTGAGAGAGGGTGGGCAAGTAAAGCAAGGGTAAAGACAAGAAGGTTGATGCAAAGAGGCAAGGAAAGAGGGCGTTGCTGGAAGGTAAATATACCGAAGGAAAGAGGCATGCAAGTAGATGTGTACATGAGACACTGTCAAATAAAGCCCTTTTCTGCTCAGTATCCTGCACATTTTTGCAGAAGTCTGAAATCCCACGTTAAGCTCTCTCATATTTACATTTTCTATGCTTACCAAACGAAAAGCACTTCACAGAACTGAGCAAGAACCGTGCTCGTTTTAAAGACAGGAGAAAAATAACATGATGAAGGAACAGACCTCCCAAGTATCCAGCGCATTTCATCTGCAGGAAGCTGAAAGGGTTTAAAGTGGCAGCTCTAAATGTACACCTGGAATAAGCATCTATAAGCAACCCAAGTTTTCAAAGTCAATGGAAAATGCAGATTCTAATGCTAGTTTAAAAAAAGAAAACAGGAAAAGGAGAAAAGAAACTCAGAGAAATGAGCACACACAAACCATTCACAACTGAGTTGACTGAGGGACTAAATACTACTGAAGAAGCTGACTGTACTTGATTAACATGAAAAACTTAGTTGGAAAAATAACCATTTTTAAAAAGGTCACAATACAAAGACCCTGCTTTCTAATTTTGCATACAAAGGCATAATGGTTTGTAAATATTGTATTCTGAATTCTTAAAATCAAATCCATGGAAATGTTGTGCACAGTTATGGTGAGCTCTAAGAGCTAAAAAGGCGAATGGGGGAAGGCACTCACCATTTTAAACAGTGTTTTGAAAAATATATCTATGCAGGAGTCCTTAGCTAGAAAACCATAAGGCTTTAGGCACAAGCACCTCCAAAGCATCTGAATTTTTAAAAACTTTTAAAAATGGACAATGATTTCCTAACTGTTCTCTGTGTTTCACTGGGATCCTTCACTGGTAATGTTTTAGGAGAAGCTGATGCAAGGTACAGATATCAAAACAGTGCTTGGAAAAAAGCAGTCTCTCATAAACTGCTCAAGCAATGAAGTTCCCAAAACAAACGTATTCCTCCAGTTTAATGTAACATTCTCTATTTAATGACCCAAATCTAAACAATATTGTTGCTGAGGGGTCCCAGCTCAAATTCCAGCTTCTCCTGCTCCTGGTTCAGCACCCCCAGCCCTGCCAGGATCAAGCAGCCAGCGCGCGTTGGAAGCTCACAGGAGTTAAGGCAGGGAAGCAGAAAAGCATGCAGGATTTGCAGCAGCGGTAGATGAGTAACACTCAGGGATAGTCCTCCTTTAGAAAAGAGACAGGATTTATATAAAGGTCACCCATGGGTGAATCCAGAGTTTTGTTTTTTGTGAAGCATGCTGAGGAAGTGACCCGTGAATACTGAAGGCTCCAGTCCTCAACAGTTCATTACTGATTATTTTCCTGTTTCTCTAATTTAAGCGGTTGAGCAAAAGCTAAATCCACTAGCAAGCAAAACAAAATAAAGAAAAAAAATATTACACCTTTGTTTCCTGTCCTATTTTAGCACAAAAACAGCATTTTGAAAAAATACTAAAGTTAGAAGGACACTGATTGTGTTTTAGGCTTTCCAGTCTTGCAGCTGGACCATTTTCAGACCATGCAGACCAGTACGGTTTTCCTGTAATGACAATTTTACAGGAATAGAGCAAAGAAAAAGAAAAAAACTCCACTAAAATCCTTTCTATCTGGCAAACTTTCTACACAATTGCTGTTGGCAGCTGCAGCATTAACATTTTAAATTAAAGGAAACATTGACATTAGGAAGGGATCTAAGCTGCAAGGTAGCCAACGCAGGCACCTGCCAAGCAGAGAACAGAAACTCATGAGGTCGGGACCTTACTTCTAAAGCCCTCCAATCCTAACCATCTACAAAATCCCCAGTCCAAAAGATTTTGGTGTTCTCAACAATCCTTGGCAAACTCTCTCTAAAAGAAGACTATTTTTCTGACAGAAAGCAAAGAGAATTCATGCAGAAACAGGCCAATTAAAGACAGTAGCAGCTGAAAAGAGATCTTGTTAGCAGCATCAAGACATGAAGACTTGAAGGTGCAATAGCCAAGTCACAGCCCCGCAATAAATACACGTTCTGCCGATTTTCTTAACCTAACCCCACTTCCCAGCTAGGAAAGCAGAATGCAGCTCAGTGGCTGACTCGGCTCCAAACTGTTGTCTTCTCCCTACAGCTGGATTTGCCCTTTATTACAGGCAGTACTACATCCAGTGAACACATCAAAGCCTCTGCCAGAAGACAACTGTGTTCAGTAATAAAGACACGTCCTAAGAAACATAACACATACACAGTACAAGCATTACGCTCTCGATTAAAACGCATCAATTGCCGAGAAGCTTGTTTTCTTTATGGGACACTGTTCTGGGTTACATGCAGGTATATTGTACAGCCACTCAGGTATATTGTACACTCTTCCACTCCCACTCTTCCATAGAAAGACTACACATCGCAGCAGCTGGCATGTAAGCTTAGATTCCTTGGCAATGGTAAGGCAGACAGGCCCAAGTTCTAAATCCTCAAACAGGCGTACCAAGACCAAAACTGAAACAGATTGGCTACAGAGTCCTCTCTGCTTCTGAACAGAAGCAGCGGGTTTTAATAAGCAACAGAAGCCTTGCAAATGCCAGCAAGAACACTAGCATGAATCAGACACCCAGGAAGAGCTGTTTGGAGCAAGAGTCAAACATTTCCACCAAAGGAAATATCAGTTTCTAGCACACATATTGCAATTAGATTAAATGAATAAAAATAAAACCATCTTGAGAATGCTGAAGAATAAAGAAACCACCACCTTTCACCCACCACCATGGAAGGAATCGAGCGATCAACAGGATCTCACCATAGACAAGGACAGATTTCAGATACTAGACAAATCAGGGGCAAAAGAAAGAAAAACAGCATTGATCATATGTTCTGATTGAAACTTCAATAAAATGCAACACAAAGCAGAATTACCATCCCCCTCATAATCCAAAATCTAGAGTATTAAAGGTCTTTAATCAATAAGATTTAAAAAGAAGTTAAGTACATTTGTCATTGCAGTGTTGGAAACAGATACCATCTACTTTCAAGAGATACCGAGCAAAGTCAGTTCATATGCCAGACAATGGGAGAAGCATCTTTTCTCTTGAGGGTGAAACGGCTTAGGATAAGAGCTTTTTTGTTGCTATATTCCATTGCTGCTGCTCCTGGAGAGTCTTACAGAAGCCAGAATTACCTTTTTAGGACAGGCCATACTGCTTCTGAATGCTCAAGAAGCTGAAAAAGTTAAAACGATGTGTGCACAAGCACTGGATTGATACACGCCAGTGTTGGTTTCAAAATAGCTTTGCAATATACAATTACCTTAAGAAAAGATAAATCACATTGTACATTTAGCTTCAAACAAATCATCATTTTGAGATGCATCCAATCCAGAAAACAAACACTCTGATTACAGGAAATCAAAGCTCTTATCTTCAGCTTGTGTCATTTTCCTCAAGCGCCCGTTCTCCTCAAGATAATGAAAAAAATCAGCTGCTCATTTCAAAAGGTTCAAAATTGATTCAGAAGGATGCTGGTTTACAAGGTTCTGCATTTTGTTACGAACAAGGTAAGTCCTCAGCCCCACGATACCAAGCAAAGGGTTACAAGGAGTATTACAGCAAATCAGAAGGACCCAGCTCACCCCAATATCTGAAAATGTTGTTTCTGATTTAACCATTTTTTCAGCCCCTGAAGACATTTCCTCTCAGTTTGCAGGGACTAAGCCTGTTGTCCTCACCTCCCCACACTACATTCACAGCAACAAATCAGCTGCATCATCACTAACTTGACTGTCAACTACAGTTAAAGATACAAGGAAGGCAGCTCATTTAAGTGCAGATAAAGCAGCAGTCATTTGAATCATGCATAAGTAAGCAAAATCCATTTCCCAGCAAAGCAGAACATACCACTTCTTGTCCTGCTGGCTGGCTCCTGGGCTCCTTGGGAGGTTTTCTATTTCCACTAAGACTGGGGCAGAAGGAACCACTGTTAGGACAGGTAGGTTTGGTTTTGCATTCCAGCTCTTCGGAGACAGAACATAAACAAGTAAGTTACTACACACACATTAATGAAGTGATGACACATTGCACAGAATAGAACACATCACCACTCCTCCTTCAGCACCAAGCTAAAACAAGGCTGTTGTCTTCTATTACTTCCACGGCACTGGATGCCTATGCCCAGTCTTTGTCCATACTGCACACAGTACTGGGATCATAACGAATCCAAGGCTGCTCAAGGTATTCAGTAAAAAGCCATGGCCTGCTGCACCCTTTTAAAATTCACGCAGTAATGCTTTCCTTCTGTAGGTAACTTTGCAATAACAATAAGCACCTTTGGACTGCCATTTGAAACATAACTGCTCCTGAAAAAAACAACTCCTTCTGCACAGAACGCAAAAAGCTGGGCAGAGCAGCAATCTACTTATCTATTAGCAGAGACTATTTTAATGTTACAACAAACTAGATTCCCATTTCCACCACTAAGTGACCCTTTCTGTTGCACTCTGCATCTGCAATACTCCAGAAAGCAAAAGAGCTTCTTTCCAAACTCAAAGTCCTGTCTTTTGATACTCAGAAGCAGAGTTACCTTACACTGACATATCTTTTCAGTGAAACAAGGTACTCTGTGTGCAAGCACTGAGAGGACAGGTGTCTCTGATTTCCTTCTCAAACTTAGAAAACACTGAATTTTTGCTAACAATATATTCTTTAATTTGCAGGTGTACTCCCCTCTTCCAGAGAAAATATACAGTAACCAGGAATCAACATAGGTGCTGATGAATTAGACTTTTTTTTTAATGTTACTTAGCATATGGAACTATTGTGCTTTGAACAATAACAATTCTCACACAAAGGTACTTTGTGTACCTGTATCTATGAATAGCATGATTCATATACTATTGGTGCATGGAGTATCTTCCTTACTCCAGCTAAATTAACCAATTATCTTGCTTGAAAATTAGCAGTCATTTCTTGGCATGCAGTTTAGTGGTTAATAATTTGTAACTTTTAACTGGTCAATCACTGGATTTTAAGAATTAATAACAAAACCCTCACATCTGCTGAAACAGATGAAAACTGCCTTTACAAAGAAAGAGAGTCCTTACTTGAGATCCATTGGTTTGGTTGATAACAGCATTGTTTGCAGTACTGAAAGACAAGAAGAACTTAAATCAGAATCAGATCAAGAAACTATTTTTGCAGGCCAGCAGAACTGCAAGGATTTTGTGAAAGAAACACAAAGTCTAAGATCTTTCCAAAGTACTTAACTGTTCTCAAAAGAATACTTAAAAACTTATGTTTTAGGTCAGCTGCCTCACTCTAGGTAACTAAGGGTATGACATTATTTTGTATTTGCTCAAGCTGTAGTTTATCTGTAATTCAGCTGGTTTTAATTCTTCCTGTCCCAAACCAGTTCAGCTTACAAAGTCTGCCTGATCCAGCACTAAGGCGAGGCACTTTTAAAGCAGAACCAATATAGTTTTAGTTCAACTCCTAGCAAAATGTGACATTGTGGAAACCTCACCTACACGCTGTAGATACAATGTTTGTTCCATAACTAGAACTCTTCTGATTTGAAGCTCCACATCACGAAGTTTATCAGAAAAAATCCGTGAGTTTCTTGTGCATAGCTCTAATGGGGACTGAATTATTGCTTCAGAGTCTTAAAGGCAGCCATTCAGAATTATGTGCATATCAGCTCAGCACAGCATTAATAATAATTTTATACTATTAAATGTTTCATATACTTAATAAATTAAATAAGAGCAATATCCCTATTCCTGATGATGTCTGAATCTGCAGGAGATATTTCACATTTCTGAGAGACTTAAAAGCATTAACACCTTGCGCAATAATAGCCCATTATAAATCTAATGAAAAGTAAACTTCATCTTTTAAAAAATGGTTTCAGTCTCCTGTAACCCATTAATATTTTGATTTACGGTCTGGACAATAGCTACCCAACCTGGAGAGCTGACAACTCAAATAGATTTCTGTATCTACTTCAGTGGTTCTTTAGAGTTATTTTACTGAAATACTATAATGTAAAGAGCAAACAAGCTGTTCCTTGACAGCTTCCCAACTTTGCACCTTCTCTGTTGAGAAAATGTGGAGGCTGCCAC